ATAATAAATTCAACAAATTTACCCAAGTCAAGTCTGTTTTGCCTGTGACAGTAATTGCTGAGTGATCTCTCCCTGTCCTTATGTCAACCCCCGAACTTTTTGTTACATTTTCTCTCCCCTGTCCAGCTGAGGAGGGGGAGTGATAGAGCGGCTTTGGTGGACAACTGGCATCCAGACAGGGTCAACCCACCCCAGCTGTACAACTGCTCATTGAAAAACAAAACAAAACAACACTGAATGAAAGACAGACCAAAGACCTCTGTTATATGGAGAATGTCACATTCATCTCGAGTCAGCTTAAAACATCAGCAAAACAACTGCATGCCTGCACACAGCTGACTGCAGAGTTGACTGTAGAGCGTAGGGTAGCCTTTGTATGTTTGATTCAAGGTCCCTTTCAAACCAGATCATTCTCAGTCTAATTTTATGTATCTGAATGCTTCAAGTTGGATGACTGAAAGGAAGATTTTGATACAACTAACTTATTGAAGAGCCAAGGGGGGAGCTCATTAGCAGGACCAGGGAAAAGCTAGCAGGGAAAAGCTGGCAGTATGGTAGAGGAAACAGATGGGCTGCAAGCAAAAACTCTGTTATGATTAAGAGAAAGTATTGTTAATAGGGCTGCATTTCTAAAGGCGGAGTTCTGCCAAAACCAGCACAAAACAGAGTAGTTATTAAAAATGTGATTTAAGTGATCAAATCAGATTAAAAGTCATTGTCTCTCAGCTGAGATGTGAGCACCAAGCATGTGTATGTTTGCTCCACTACAATATAAATGAAGAAGACTGAACATAAACTGCTATTTCTAGGTGAGGGACAGAAACTTCCTAAATCATGCTAGTTCTGTCATCCGCTGTTATCTGATCATATGCACCAACCTAAATAAAACCAAAGCAGGTACCAAAGTGGGATACTGGATCTTTATTGTATACCTCATTTGTGCTGCTTAGCAGGCAGGAATTCAGACGCAAATTTAAAAGTAAGTAAATAGTTTAAGCTATGCTGAACTACGGAGCACGACCTAACAAGCTTGGCAGGAAGGCACAAATAGCAAGACAACAGCAATTTCAATAAGAAAGTGAAATTAAATGCCAGAAGTACCTATGAAATCAGCATGAAATCTACAGAGCAAAAGGGATGAAAAACAAAGGAAGAAGGGGGGGAAGGAAAGTCATGTAAATACCATAGCTGGATGTCAGGTGTTGGTAATTCTTAAACTCCAACTGTTAAGAAACAATGCAAATCCAAAATACGTTAGGGTCAGATTTATCCTACCTAACTTGGCTCACTTACTGTGTCTGGCATAAGATACATGTGTATTGTTTCTGTAGATAATAGACAGACGTATCTCCTGAGGGTGACATCTCCCACCCAAAACCAGTTATCTGAGATACAGATGTGTCTAAGCTGAGGTTCTTAGGCCCCCTCTTAAAGTCACTGAATGCCCTGATTTAGTCTTCAAAAAGGATGGTGCTGAGCTGGCACAGCTTCAAGCTCAAGGGGCTGTTGAACATTCACTACAGATGCTTATTTCTGGGAATGCTTAAGAAGTTACTTCTCTGTGAAGACCTTGCCCTCTGTTTTTTGAAAGCTAACTACAGTATGAGAAGATGCAATACTTCAGACTCTTTACGCTGGTAAGTAAACTCTGATACTAACCCAACACCCTGCTCACGGTGTATTTCTTCTCCTTCAGCAGAGTTGCTGACATGAAACGGGGTATATAGAACAATTACTTCAGTAAAAATTTCTTGACCTCGTTAAAAATTAAGAAAACTATTGCATGCAGCAGTTGCTTAGGAGCTGTGCTAGGGCAGGCCCTGACTTTGCCTTCTGCCGTGCGTGAGCACTCTCATGTGTCCCTTCACCTCTCTGTCCCCAGCCATGTATTGGTAAAATGGAGGCAGGCTGCTCTGCATGAACGGGGGCTGAAGGGCTTAGGAGAGCCCCCGAACTCTTCCAGCAGGAACTTCGTGTTGCTGTCCTCTCTCAGGGATGTGTTTCCCAGCCTCTCCCCACATTGTATAGGAACCCTAGGAGATTAACTCAAAGCCCGTGGTTTTCTGCATGCAAGCAGGGTCCAAAGGGTAAATACTGGTACATCTACACATCCATACCTGAAATATCCACTGTCCACACCTGTTCCCTCTCAGCAAAGAGTGCATATGTTAAACATGAGATGTGGAGGGGAGGAGAAGGAGCCGGCTTTTATGGCGCACACAACATGGCTCATTTAGCCAAGGGTTTGGGAGGCATCATGGTAAAATAAGTAATCTTTATCCACAATTCAGACTTTACAAACTGTTAGAGAACTCCATAATCATACTGTCTGTTCCATCAGTAGCTGTATCACAAGCTGAAAATGATCATTTTACTCCAGAATGCTTTGAAAGCAGCCCATGATGAGTGAGCCACACAAGAGGCGTTCAAGCCCCAGGACAAGTATCATTAGAATTCAACTTATCCAGAGCTGAGAAACACTAATAGGAAAAGTACTTTGGGCACTTATTAGCTGCATTTTGAATAGGACTTACCAGAAAGAAAACAGAAAGACCATATGTCTGATCATCTTGCACTAAGCTTTTGCCACAGCATGGAGGCAGCGCACACTGGCAAGTACATGCAAAATGAGCCTTATACAACATAAGAACACCAGAGATCACCAAATATCCACAGACAGGGCTGTGGGACTCCAGCCCACAAAACTCTTCTCCAAAACACAGACTCCACTGGACATAAGTCAGGTCCACAGAACAACAGCCCAGGAGGCCACAGCAAATGAGAACTCCAAAGGGGGGAAAAACTTGCCACAGGACAGTTTTTCCATCCCACCTTAAGAATGGCGGAAAACTGAAGAAGCAACAGGCTTTCTAATAGCATCTCAGGGATGAATCCACAACCTGCAGAAGCTTCTGTGGGAAGGACTGACTTCTGAGCTGGCTTATGCTCACTACAGCTGGTGACCCTCACAAAGCTATAGGCAGGGAATAGATACATACATGTACATACCATATCAGTGAGCAGAAGTGGGGGAGTGTCTCCTCTCTTAATGGGGAGAAAACTTCTCTCTACCATCAATGTCAAAGTTGCTATCTTGCATCTCAAAGCTGCCAAGTACCAAGAAGTTAGAATATCTCATTCAAGGAGTGATTTCAGGAAGTGTTCAGCAAAAGTCCAGGCTGCTACACTGCTTGGACACAAACTTAACATTAGATTTCCTAGTAGTGCTGCCGAGGTCAATATGGTTACTCCCCTGCGTGGCATCAGGTATGTCCTTTAGGGGCTCTGGTTGAAGCTTTGGCTTCCATTTCATTGCAGCTTAAGTTAGCGTTGCAAGTGGGTTTAGCAGGCATTCAAGTAAAGCAGCAAGTACCTTACACCTGCTTACTGTCTACTTTTGCCATTGCTTTTCCTTGGGTAGCATGTTATGTGTAAGGTGAAAGAATCAAATCAAAAGGAACAAAGAATGTGCGTGTATATACAAATAAACCAAGCAGCGTGTTCTCTACCTGCAAGACCTACCCACTGTTCCTGAGGTTACAGACCAGCCATTACAGCCTAGGAGTCAAGTAATTGAGCTCGATCTCAATTTTCCTCAGGAATCTTAGGGAATTGACTTCCGCATGCTGTATTTCCCCAATGCAGAGCAATTTACATTGATGTTACCAAGAATTTGGAAAACTGGAAGTAACCAGCTGAGGCGAGGCCTGGAGGTAAGAGCGGGGGAAGTTTCAGGCTGACATGAATGGACGCTGTCTCCAGGCATTGCGCTGATGGCTGTTCTACACCACTGCCTTACAGTCTCGGGTATCAGGCGGCCTGGTGCTTACCTGTTCACACCAGGCTGGGCTGGGTCTCTGTGGGCCTAGCAAAGCATGGCTTTTTCTACCAGGCACAGAAGTGCTCCAAAGCTCAAAGCACGTGAGGAGATTTCTGCTCAAATGCTCTGGGTAATGATGCCAGCTCAGGTGCTGCTTCGTGTGTGGCCTGAAGGTCCACAGCTCGCTTGAAAAATATATGCAGGTGCAAACTGCTGGCACGTAGTAATGCTGTCCAGTAACTCAGAGCACCTTACCACAACACAGAAAGGACACCTAGAACTGGGTAATAGGACTGGCACAGACTGCAAAAAAAGGACACTTTTGATAGACGTACAACTGGAACAAGTTGACAGACCTGTTATCAACACCATGTTTACATGGAAGTGCAATGAACTTTTTTCTTCTTTCCTATAAATTGTGCCTCCCTGGTTGCCTGGTTACTTTCCTGGGCTCCATTCTTTACACTAGAAAGACCACACCAGCAAAAAAAAAAAGCAAAAACCAAACCACCAACACCAAACAACTGTATAAACTCTTATTCCTCTTTGAAACCATTGTTTTTTAGTTATGCCTGGCTGGCAGGTGGACTAGTGGGTCTGGCTCTGTATGTAAAAGTGTGTTCACTCTTCCTTCTCCCAGCACACAGTGGTATCAGCTTCGGCCATAGCAACTCACAGAGACAACAGAAGTTTTTACAAGCTCCACCACACATAGGAAATAAGAGTGATACCCTCCAAAGCTGCACGTTAGAGTGACCAAGTCCCTACAGCCACTAGGAAAAAGCCAAGGTGTTCCTGTTTCCATCGTCCGTTAGCTCACAGTTCCCCTTTCAAGTGGTCCATTGGTCAAAGAGGTAACTCTGTGCCTCTGCGGTGCGGCTTAGCTACAGCTCTCTAAATCAAGGTGTGAAAGGACAGGAACATTTATTAAAGGTTTCCACTACAGAACAAGAGCTCTCACTTTTTGCAGCTTGAAATAAACCCCACTTGCAACACAGAAGCAAGTGCAACCACAGCAGGGTTTGAGCAGGAAAAGCCTTCACAGGGGGGCTAGTGAAGGACGGGTGGGGGGAAGGAGGTGGTTCTCTGTCACCAGAAAAAGTACTGCCACTCAATTTTTTCCACTTATAGTCAGCCCCCCCATGACGCCCCAAAAGTGAACACAAGAACTGACCACTGAATGACACTATATAAACTCTGTGAACGAGGGCTGACAATAGCCACTTTCTTCTCTGCCTCAACGAAGAAGCCACCAGCAATGAAACTCCACGCTGCAGCTATCCTCGTCATCTGCTGGCTTGGCATCTTCACCATGGACACGGTGAAAGGTAAGTTTACAGCCCAAGAGGAAGACAGAAATTGCTCCACATTGCACCAGTGGTCTGATGAGCAGGATTCGTTCTCAGCCAGAGCTGATTCATAAGATAAAACTTGCAAAAAATCCGGATCAGAACCACAAGAAAGGCAGCTTTATGGGAGGTTTCATATGATGTCCTGTCAATTAGTAGTTGGCTTCTGCCTTAATGCAAGGAGAGCTTCTGTGCCTTAGAACACTTAAAGAGTTTCTGTGCATTATTCTCTCTCTTAAAATCATGAAAGCTTGAAGACATAATGTCTTTCAATCTCACTGGTGCCATATAGCAATGACCTCTATAGGTTAATAACATTTTATGAAAAATATTTTGAGTGGTACTTTTTTTCTTTTTCCAGATATACAACTTTTATATGTATTTTTATTGCATTAATTTTTGTTTTTCTCTAACTATACAGCCTTAATCCCTCTTAAACCAGTCCCTATTTTAAAAAGTTCTTCCAGTTCTGTATCACATATTGCCTATTTGCTTGTTTCTAGCCAAATATTTTGGTACACGCAGGAAAATTATAAATGTAAACTGCAAAGGAGAGCAATGGATTTATACAATGTCTTATCTTTCTTCCTGTTTTCATACAATTTAAGATCTTGTTTGAGACCATTTATGAGCACTGAGATGAGGCATGTTTGTTAGCCATGCTTTAAGTAAGTTTGTCTACAGTGATGTTTAGGTCTGTGACTTTTGGATTAGGCAACATGTATCATGCGAAAATATGAACATACACATGCAAACACGGCTTCTTATACACAGATTCACACAAACAAGCACATAGAAATCACAGAACACACTCATGTGCAAGCCATATGCAAACCCACAAAAATATGCAGAGATACACACAGAAAAGGCATCTTCACAAAACCACACCAAAACCAAACTGAGACCTGCTAAGCATTCACAAGATTATGTAGCTACATACTAAGCACGTTGGCCTAGTGCCCCTACAGCTAGATCATGCTCATTCTCGCACGTTGATTAACGCTACTGCTGTTCATCTTGGCAACACGTGGCTTCGTATCACAGACTGCCAGTTCGTAATGTCATTCTCTGGGTTGTATGATTTCCCATAAATAGCATGAAGTCTGAAAAAGCACACTGAGGTGGTGTGCAAGGGATAGAAAAAGGATTAGAAAGAATGATGATGAAAAAAAAAAACAACCCAGGAAAAAGGGTCGTGATAGCTGCAGAGCAGTTTGATTTTGTTCCCAGGCTAAGAGGAGCTCTGCTGGTATTGCCTGCATGCATTCCCTGGGGATAGTTTAGTTGTAGGGAGAATATTTCCAGGACTAGTAAGGATTGCTTGACTATCTTTGAACTCTTTAATGCCATGTTTTGAAAACTAGTCTGAGTGAGGCAGTAAGATACATATTTGTAATGAATCATCAAAAAATGCATGGTATTACTCCTGACTAAAACAAGATCAGAAGAGATATTCTTTCAGGCAAACAAAATCTCAAGAACTAGCAACTCTGCCAGTACCCATGCCCTGGCTATGCTACAGCTTCTCCAAAGGCTGATATGTGTTTGCCTCAGCTATTCCAATTATTTCAAACAAAGAAAAGGTCACAGATAATGAAATTATCTAAAGCAGGTTTTATACTTAGCAATGAATATTGCAAAATTAATATTTTGCACCTGAACAGCTCTTGGACTTTTCTCAAGCCAGTTTCTCTATAAATTCTTTTAAAAAGAAACCTCAGAATACAGAAGTGTTCTGTTTGTCCCCCTCATGCCTTCCCAAACCTGTCTTTGATGGGTGGGAAAAAGACAGAAACTAGTAAGCAGAGGCTTCCTGTAACGTGTGCATATACTCCATTGCACTTAAATAAGCTCCCATTTTTAGTTATCATCATGTAAGGTAACAACTGTCCAGAGAATTGTACACTGATATCATGATCCTCTTTATTAATCACTGGTGCATTTCCCTGAAATGTATGAAAATGTTGGAGGAAAGAGAAGATTAAGTAGCACTCCATTGCCTATGAAACCAGACTTAGAGCAGGAGTACCCGAGCACTTAGTCTTCTGGCAGATATACCTCCCTTTCTTTCAACAATTTTTTTTTAATGCTAGTTTTGAATGTCCAGTGTGAGACAAGTAGCCTTGGCTTCCTTTCCTTCCCTTGGAAAGTAGGGGGAATTACTGATACACAGTATGGCATGTGGAAATCCACCCAGTAAAGGTGCTGGTTCTAAGCGCTACTCCATATGGACACTTATTTGCAGATGATACAGACCTAATCATGAATGATGCCAAAAACCTTTTCTGCTACGGAAGCAGTGACTCCCTAGGGGCAGAATGATTATACAATTGTTCAGGAGAACGGATGAAGATTAGCATCTTAACTGAAACAGCAATAACACTTTAGAGATGGTAGGATGCATCACAAAAAATACCTTGTAGAACTGGTATTGTGGCTGTCTATCATGAAACACTCATGTTCTAACAACTGGAAATCTGCTGGAATTCATAATTTATTAAGTAATTATGGCTAAATACAAATATAGTATTGACTGTCTTTGCCTCATTTATCTATTTTCCCCTTCTAGGGAGCATTGGAAGTCAGCGCATGCACAAATTGAGATGTGTAATTCTGCCTACACAGCAAGTGAACATCCAAAAACTTGTTGGCTATGAAAGGCAACAGGGTCCAGTAAACGCCGTCATGTAAGTGTTCAGTGCACAGTTCACCTTCAGACTTGTCTATACAAACATGCTACCATCAAAAAGGGAAGGGGCATCAGAAGATACCTTATGTCCCAAATCACTAAATCTGGCTAGTTCAGGCCACCCTTCCGGTTCCCCCATGAAGCAGTCACCTGGCAGCCGAGGGAGTGAGGGGGCTTCAGGGAGCAGGGAGCTGTATGCTGCTCGCAAACGCTGGCAGAAATCTCACTGCACAGCCAGACCTTTGTGCCCAGAAAGTGGGGAAAAATCTCAGCGAGGGGTCAGGGCGGAGCAGTCAGAAGCCTGGTGCATTGAATTGTGCCAACGGGGAATAATCATGTGGAAGAGTTTGGGGTAACTGTGACTCCTGCTAGGAGCTGTGTTTGGTCTTTTGATCTCATGAGCACGCATTTTTATCAAATCTGGCATCTGCTTCTGGGAGGTAAATGTGTATCATGATTTCACATAAGATCTCAGAATATCAGGTATGCTCCTTTTTTTAAACGTTAGTATATATGCGCATGACCATGTATGTTACATACATACCTATGACATAAATAGGCAACTAACATTGCTAACTGCTGTTATTCCAACTAACAACTACAAACTCCAGTGTACAATATGGTTTTACCATACTGTTACTCCTGTCCTGCATAAAAACCAAGAACAGTAAACCTGGGTTCGGGGACTGGAATTTAATGGCCACCTGGTTTGCTTTCTTTCTTCCTATAGGTTTATGACCATAAAAGGTTTCAAGTTCTGCGTAAACGCTGATCAGAAATGGGTGCAGGATGCTATAAGGAAAATAGACCAAAAACGTACCACCAAAGGCAAATAATCCCACCCTGGGCAAGCATCTAAGGCCAACTGAATGGAATCGTCATCAGTGCTGCATTTAACAGCGAAGAAAGCCTTAGTATCTGCTTTTAATTCCTAATTATTAATTGGCAATAAAATCTCTGAACAAACATGAACTCACCAGAATCTGTTCATCACTGGTTGAATGTCTGCCGACTACTTCGTTTTACAGCCAGACTCTGTTACACTGCTTATTTGCTGAAATGCTTGCTAATATTTATTTACAACTGAATGTAGGTACATTCTCATCCTTGCTGTCCTGACCAGTATGGCATTTAAGGGTGAATGGCAGATAGTTTCACATGCTGTAGGAAAGAAGATGACCTCCCACGGAGCTGGATGAGTGTAGACCTCCATCCTGATGGAGATCAGAATGTTCTGCATTGAGTGCTGGCTTTGAGAAGGTGCTATATAATTTAATGGTTATTCATACTTATATAATCTGTAAGTAAATTAATCTCATGCTTCAGGCTATCACCTGATCAGTGCAATATTCAGAAGATGATCCTTGGGCCTTCTGTTTTTAAACACAGTATTGCACGATAAGCTCAGTCCACGATGACATATGGATGCTCTCACCGAGGGATGACCTGGAGTAATTCAGGGTAACTCTATGAATGTAACCCTATTCAACCTTGTACTGGGGAAGACTTATCCTACCTACTGACTTCTGTGAAGTTACTTCAGTTTCACCCTCACATGAGACAAACCTGAAACAATTGTTCTACTTTTCCCTTTGCTTTTCTCTGGATAAGCAAGAACAAACCATATCTGGAATCTGTATTCCACAAACTTATAGAAACTCCCTGCCCTAGAGACCTATGTATATGTAAATGTCTTGTATTTTTAAAATTGATAAATTCTACTAAAGGAAGGATTTGAATTTTAATAAAGTTACTATAAACCTGGAATCAAATGGTACGTTTTTCTCCTTGTATGTAATGCAGATGGAGACTGTTGAAATGGGTATCAAGATGACAGCACAAATCTGAGAACTTTTGGGCAAGCCAGCTACAGCTGACACTGCTGCCAACTCATGACTCAGATTGTTCAAAAGCAATTTGAATCTGAGCTTTCTACACTATATTTCAGCTGTAAAACCCATATTTCAGACAATGCCTCTTCAAAAGTTCAGATACTTAAAAGTCAGACTTCATACGATGCTAGGATGATCCCCACATTATCAGAAGCAGCCTCAGAAGACCTCTATGCAGAGAGAGAAAAAATTGGCATTTGAGGAGGTTGAGGGGTGGAGGAGAGGTATAGGCAGAGCAGCTCCAGGAATAAACTCCCTCTCATACTACCACATGTATGTAGCCTGCACTGCTGCTAAGGCACAGGCTTTTCATCACAAATAACCTCTTAGTGATACACATGAAACTACAGCACTTCCAAACTACACCATAGAAATAAGATTGTGTTTCTCTAAAAGCCAGTCTTTACAGCCCACTGGTCAAGTCTGCAGACAGATTTTGTCTCCCATGGCTCATGTTTTGTAATAGCCCAGTCCTGTGTAGGGAGACGCATTTAGTTTTCACTAATCAGGACAGGTTTTAAAGCAGTGCTCCGGCTCAGGCAGGGAAGAGAAGGATAACTTGTATGTGTCTCACTACAGAACAGAGCCAAGGCAGGCTGCTGAGCCTCCATTGTATGGAGCAATGCTTCTTTACTGAGGTTCTTGAGATCAACTGCACCAGAAAAAATAGTTGTTGCTACAAACTTTTTAAGAAGAGCCTTACAGGTAGAAAGAAATGTTGAGATGAGATGTTTCTGGAGTACAGCAATGTATAAACTGGTGTTCACTCATTTTGAATTGCCAACCTCAAGGCCCCAGCACCTCATATTACAGACAACAGAAACGCTTCTGTTCCCCTCAGCATCATCAGGTTACCAGCAGGCTACAAAACCATGTCACCTATAAAAGCATTTTTATGATAAGCTCTCACAGATGAATATCATCAGCTTCCATTGATCAAGTTCATCCAGGACCAGAACTAACATGCTTTTGGCAGGCAGAACTTTAATGCCTTGCGCTCATACTTAGTAGTATCTTATCCTGGAATTAATCTTGCTGAAGTGAACATAATATTTTTAATTAGGACTATCACAACCTGAGGATATACTAATTAAGCATCGCATAGCAATTAATACTTTATATCTGCCTATCCTCATCACAGTTCATATCATGATTAATAATTTTTAAGAGTGAGTCATCCTACTTAATAATTACGTCTTGTTTGTTATACCTTGCAAGATCTGTAATGATCCTTGTGGACTTTTGGGGAGTTAATTACTATGGGTGATCAGCGCTCTCAACATCTCTTCCTACTCAGCCATTAAGCCCCAGGGACTCCCCCATCTTTCCCTGACCATTCCTTACCCCAGTCACACAGAATCACAGAATGGCAGGATTTGGAAGGAATCTTGGGAGATCACCTAGTCCAACCCTCCTGCTAAAGCAGGGTCACCTGGAGCAGGTTGCACAGGACATGGTCCAGGCGGGCTTTGAATATCTGCAGAGAAGGAGACTCCACAACCCCACTGGGTAGCCTGTTCCAGGGCTCTAGTCACCCTCAAAGTAAAGAAGTTCTTCCTCATATTCAACTGAATCCTTGCTGTGGTCCCAGTTGTGTGCTATTTTTGTCATCTCTAGCTGTGTATAGTCTGGAAACTTATCTGTAATGGCACTGCTCCTGCCTAGCACTTTTCCCTGAGGCTCTCAAAATGCTTTAGCTAGAATGGAAAATATTATTAAACCTCCTTTTCACACACACACAAAAGAAAAGTGCAAAATGAAGAACTAGAGTGCTGCTGTTGTGTTGGAGGCAAGTAAGAACCATAGTCTCGGTCTCTCCAACATCCTTAGGAAATATCTCGCTTAGAAAAACAGGCAGTTAGGCTCCAAGGTGCGTCTGAATATCTGGGGCTGTGGTTGCGCTGATGTCCTCCCTGCACCTGGCTGCCCACCATTTCTTCTCCAGGCATCCTGGCTTGTATCAGGAATAGTGTGGCCAGCAGGAGCAGGGAAGTGATAGTGCCCCTGTACTCAGTGCTGGTGAGGCTGCACCTCAAATACTGTGTTCAGTTTTGGGCCCCTCACTACAAGAAAGATGTTGCATTGCTGGAACATGTCCAGAGGAGAGCCACAAAGCTGCTGAGGGGTCCGGAGCACAAGTCATACAAGGAGCAGCTGAGGGAACTGGGGCTGTTTAGTTTGGAGAAGAGGAGGCTGAGGGGAGACCTTATCACCCTCTACAACTGCCTGAAAGGAGGCTGTAGTGAGGTGGGGGTTGGCCTCTTCTCCCTGGTAACAGATGATAGGATGAGGGGGAATGGCTTGAAGTTGCGCCAGGGCAGGTTTAGGTTAGACATTAGGAAAAATTTCTTCACCTAAAGGGTTGTCAGGCTCTGGAATGGGCTGCCCAGAGAGGTAGTAGAGTCCCCATCCCTGGAGGTATTTAAAAGAAGGACATATGAGGCGCTTAGGGACATGGTTTAGTGGTGGGATGGCAGGGTTAGGTTAACAGTTGGACCTGATGATCTTAAAGGTCTTTTCCAACCTAGATGATTCTATGATTCTCCAGGTGAGGTAGGGAGCAGGGTGCTCACAGCAACTGCTTCCCCTCCTGCTCATCCCCTGCTAGATTACAGCCTGTAATATGAACATTGATTTCCTTTGACTCCCTTTGTAAGATCTGTGCACCACTTTGCCAGAAAGAACCCTCCAAATACACATTGGCAGACCAGGGAGCAGCAATATCTGAAACTAGTCAACCGTTTCTCTTCTGTCGCACACCACGCACACAGTTTCCAAAGGGGCTGAAGAGATGCACTGTGTACAGATCTTTAGCACAGGGGAAGGACAGCAAAGAGCACAGTGGACAAACCCTCAATCTGTGTAAGTATGCACAGCTTCACTAACTTCAACAGAGGCTGACAGGACAACTACCCACCCCTCTGGGCATGCTGGCTTTTTGCATTAGAAAAGTACACTTCCTAGGAAATGACTTTACATAGCTGCACCTGTATTCTTTTCGCTGCTTGTAATTAAGGAACTAGAAAGTTAAGAGACATTTCCAGAGCATGTGCTGGTTCAAGGCCTGGTTATTGCCCCTACTCTGTTCCTTTAAAGAGACCACAGAAAATGGGGTTGCACGGCAGGCCCGTTCCTGGAAAAGTTTGGGGTTTCCTTCCTGTCTGGCTGTGGTTTAGAATAAAAGAGTCCAGACCATATTATTACATGTTGTTATGCAAAGAAAGAGGCTGATACTGTCATAAGACACAAAGACTCCAAAAATACACACTCATGTCCTGCTCTGCTTAATTGTTCATTTTCATGCAGTGGCTGTCACTCGATTTGGGCTGACTATTATGTATCATATTGAATATTTCTTGCATTAAGCCTTTAAGAACTGAAGAAAAAAATGCAAAAGCTGTTTAGAATTCTTAACACCTGAAATAAATCTGATCGCTTTTTCATTCCCTCCAGGTTTCTGAGCCTTTTAGTTCCACACTGAGGTTACAGTTTCCTCAAGAACCATCAGGTGAAGAAGTGTGTGTTGCAAGAGTAAGCCCTAGGACTCAGAGTCTTCCTGAAAGATTGGTGTCGGAGAGAGTGACAGTAAGGGTGCATGTACCTGTGTGCATTCATGTGTTCGTGCACGCATGTGAATACATGTGCAAGATGAGGCTTCTGTAGGTTCCTCAGTGGGGGAAATACCTGCTTGTTTCCTACCATCTGCTGCCTACTGTCCACCATGGTGCCAGCTCCAACATGCCTGCTGCTCTGAGACCATTAGAGAGTTACCCTGGTATTCCCCAGGGGGATAACATTGACTCACAAAGAAACCTCAAGTGATAGTTGCCTAGTGCCTCTCTGTACAGCATGAGAAGAAAATGGCTTTGTTAGGGCTCCCACCAGGGCTCCCACCTACCTTCACAGTCATCCTAACCCTGCTTATAAACAAACCCTGAACAGGAATTGCCACGCTATGAGTTGCCAATTCACCTGGTACTCTCCTTAGGGTGCTTTGCATGAGGTGCTGGCCGGTTCAGGTTTGATTTATT